TGAAAAAAAAAAAAATTACACATTTTTTCCTACCACAAAACTTTTTTTTTTCCTTTGATTATCAAAATTAAGAACAAAATAAAGGAAAATTATATGTTAAAGTGAACTAAACTTAATAAGTAGGTGGATGTAGGACCAAATACACATAAAAAAAATATAATTATATTAAAGAGTGGGAGAGAGATAGAAAGAGTAAAACAAAAATGAAAAAATTAATGTTTATAGCATAAAAGGATATGTGATTACAATACCAAAAATTTTGTACTAATTAGTTAATTAAGGAATATGAAATGAGAATAAAATACACACATACTCGTATAATTACAAATTGTGTATATATGCATACCAAAAAAAGAAAAGTGTAATTGTATAAAAATGTGAAAAAATCGGCAGAATAAAAATATTCACTCTGTTCTTTGAATTGTTAATATTGCAGTTAAAGTAAATTAATAATGAATATTTTGAGTCAAATTATGTGTGGGTTACCAAACTCAGTATTTTATACTTTAAGTTTCTTTTAAAGTTCAAAATATTAAATTACTCTTTGACTGCTATAGTTATTAATTTATTATTCAAATAATTCGACAACATGAGGAAGAATTAGAATTTTTCGTATTAATTAACACGGCACATTGCCTTACGGGAGTGTAATATTTCAAGTTTTTTGTTTAATTCCATATGGAAGTATTGATAAATGTGTTGTAATTGCAACAAAATGCATTGGAATGTTTGTGTACTTATGGTGTTGATTAGTTTTTCAAATTTTTTTGATAATTTATGCTTTAAGTTGTAGCTTTAAATCGTTTTTCTTGGGTTCGTTAACAGTTTTGAAGAAGCTTATGAATATCGAAACCTAATTTTCTTTTTATATCAAAATTGGTTTTCCATTTTTTTACCAGTTCGAACTCATACCAATGTTCAATGACTATTTATTATTATTTTTAAATATAATAAATATTTAGATAATTAATTGAAATGGGTCTTAAAATGTTTGAAAATTAAATTAATGTCCCCGAAAAGCTAGGAACTCTTGTTTTATTTTTTCTTTATTTTTGCATTATTGCATATTTTTTTATTAAAATTTGTATAGTATAATTGCAAGAAAATTAACAAAAACAAAAATCAAATAATTTTTTTATATTAATTAAAGTAGATAATTTGAAAGGAAACTGTGATAAAAATCATAATGAAATTTTTTTATTTTAATTATATTTTTTAAGTTAACCAATAATTAATTTAATTAAAAACTATCAAAAAAAAACTGACTGTAATGAAAAAAATTTAATTGTATGGAGAAACTTTCATTTGAATTTTAGTTAGTGTGCTATCACGTATAACACCATATATGAATGTAATTAAAAATTCGTTGCAAAGCTTTATGAGACGGTTTAATTTTAAAAATATGCGTCTATAACAATAATTTTTGTAACAGATGAATAAATCGATTTTTTTTTTGATAACAGATGCCCTGAATTTAACACAGGGTATTTTTAATACTTTACGATCACTTCCTATAAAAGATCTCCTTATACAAATAAAAGTCGAATGTAAAGATGCTTCAGCCTAGAAAGTTGTAATTTTAAAAAATTTTCAAAAAAACAAACAATATAACCTATACTTACTATGAAATTTTAATAAAAATCAAAATTAATTTAAAATATTTCGCTTTTTCTTCTTCTTTGAGATTTTTACAAAAATTTACAAAAATTTTTTATTATTTAGTTATGAGAATTTACTTTTTCCTTCGGAGAATCAAACCACCTAATGTGAATTCAGCGTAATTGCATCATTCAATAAAATTTCTCGTGAAATATTAAATATTGTGTATTTGTGTGCCAAGATAACATAGATTTGAAATTACCTAAGTTTGTAACAGCACATTTATAAATATAATACGAAAACACTTGTTTATTCACTTGTTTTTTAAACAATGACAATTTTATTTTTTATCCAATTGAATAATTATTGCAAATGTCTGTCATTTGTTTGTAGTAATTGTGTTACATGCTACTTAGCGTTAATACCAAAGTGGCAACACTATAATTATTATATTATTTTAACTGTAAAAATATTATATTATATTAAAATGAAAATAAAACAAGTTTATACTGTATTAACAGAAGGTCGACATATTTTTCAATTAAATTTTTAATAAATATAATTAAACATTACAGTCAACAACTAATAATATCTGTTATATTAAATTTTCAATTAAAAACAATATAGTCTACATAATTCACTTAATTTATTGTTAATAAAAAAATAATTCAAAGCACTTCACTCAAACAAGTTATATACTTACTCGTATATTTCGGTTTTGCTCATTTCGCTCATTCTTAATCAAGACAGACATACTCATTCTGTTTTAAATTCAATTAGAGAAAAGTTTAAACGTTTCAATATTTTTTTCTCATTAAATATTTGAGTATTTTCTTAAAATAACTCTTTTGTAATAAAAATTTTTCAATAACAATTTTGGAACGTGTAAAAAGTTTCTTTATGACTTTTATTTCGTAATAATTTAATTAGTTACGCGTGTGTACAACATGTGTATAAAGACTGCAAAGTTCATTTTTATACTAGAAGGACATTTTAAATAAACCACAACGTTTGTAACACTATAAAATTCAATTTCGGTATATAACATATTCTCGATCAGTTTCGCATTCGGTATAGCTTTTTGTCTATCCATTCGCCTAGCTTAATGCCAGCTGAATCAAATTTCCACAAATTTTTGTAGTAGTATTAGCAGGATCACTATTTAATTTAAGCTCGATGGAAGCAGCGATTCGAATAGCTGCGATAAAATTCCAAAACACCTATATATACTGCCTATATCTCTTTAATTAATAAACTTTATTGCGTAAACTTGCATAAGTTCTAAAAAATAGCTGTCATACAAATCTGTACGAATAATTTTGTGTTATGTCCCAGCAACTATATAATAAGTTGTAAACAGTTTTGTATGAAGTAAGTTTAACAAAAGGTAAGTTTAATTACACGATATTAACAAAATGTTAACAGGAGCTCATCCCATTTTATAAAACAGTACATGTTAGGAAATATACTAATGCTTGTTCACTAGGTATTGCAAAAAATATTCATAATATTTTTACATAACATAAGAATTCAGGACCTTTGTTATAGTATACTTATTATATTCAGAACCTTTGCTATAATTTTACTTTTGTGAACATCAGAATAAATTATGGTAAGATAACTAGTTTCTTTCTTATTAAGAAATTTTAGCAAATTGAAAATTTTGGATTGAACTTTGCTTTCCAATTTTTTTTATTACAATATAATTTACGGCATTCTAATCATTCATATTAAGTGAGAATCAAAACGTATTAAAGTATGAATTTTTGTTATTTCATCGAATAAACGAGTTTAAAACTTGATTTAATTCCCATTTTCTGTGAATACGAGTATATCTATGTATACACATTTTTTATAATAGACCAATATACTGTGATGCAAGAGTTTTTTTCTTTTTTCTCTCAAAAGCTCTTCTCATGTAAAGATTTGTGATTTTTAATTTTCATATAACACTATTACGACATCTTTAGTTTGAATTGAAAATGACGTTTTTTATTGGTGATTCCATTTCATTTCGTATTGGTTATAACGTCATCAAATTTTAATTGTCTGGTTTTAGGTGATCCCCGTTAAAAAAATTTCTGTTTTATAAGAAAAAGATATTTTGAATTGTTATACGAGTAATAAAAAGAAAATCATGACTAATAACTTCAATCACATATACAATAATTGTTTGTGTGAGCTGCGATTTTGTTTTGTTTACAAAATATATTCTGAGAAGGTCACCGATTTTGTTTATAGTGAACTTATTTTTTATGTTCCAAGAAAATATTATTTTTTGTGTTCATCATACTATCTTTATTGATTGTGTTGCGATTTTACATACGTGATGTGTTACTTAATATATATACATAAGTATGTATAACATTTATATAAACTATATTGTTTTCAGAGTAAAAAATATTAAAAAGATATTGATAATTTAAAATTCAAAATTAAAGCGTTTTTAAAACGATACTTTTGATTACATATACGGATGACCATAGATAAAATAGTTGAAGCATCAAAACTAAATATGTACATAAGATTGATTTGTTATATTTAATAGGCTAAATCCCTTCATCATATTTTTTAAATTTGAAAATAGTTGAAATTCGAATATTTTTAAAAATTTGCTGCAGTAGTTTTGTTAAAGTATTAGCGAAAAGTAATACAATCCTCTAAACATCAAATTAGCTACTTCTGAAATTAAAATTTTATTCAATATAAAATGGAGGAGCAATATCTTACTGAATAAATATTGAAAAAACAGGATATACATAAAGTCAATTTAAATGTATGACAAATATGATTTCTTTACAGATAATGAAATTTTATGAATGACTTATGACTATTGCAAAACAACACATCAAGCTCAAAATTTTTTATTCAATATTTTTAAATACGGAGGAGTCTTAAAAAAGGAATGAACATTTCTGCAAACGCAAATAAATTAATTTGGAAACAAATTAGGAACTACTCAAATGGTGGTTTATTTTGTTTTTTTTTTTTGGAAACATTAAATAATAGGACGATGTAATCGGCTCTGTCGCAAGAACTCATAGTTTTGTTGTTATAATTGAGTTCTTACTTCTAATTATGATTTTTGATATTCTAATTTTATTGGCTATGAATTGGATATTCTAATTTTATCTGAGTAGTTTCTGAAATATAATGAAATTTCTTTTGAATTAAGAAGCCACTGTTAGAAAGTATATAATTTTTACTTAAAGATCTTATAGAAGTCATAAATCAGCTCATTTTTTAACTGAAATCATTATTATAATTATTGTTTAATGTCAGTTCGTCATGTCAATTATCGTTTAATGTCAGCATATGAGTACAGTTTTTTTTCTTATTGTTGCACTGAAAATTTCGTAAATATATAGGATACTATAAAATAAACGAATAAAAAAAATATATAACAAACTTTAGAATTAATTTTTTTTAATTTTACTTATAATTATTAACTTATATAATAAAATAAATACTATTTATATATACTTATATAATATATATTTCTAAAATTTATTCCTAATCAATACGAGAATGAATTGAAATATCTTCATCATTTTCATCTTCAGCTGTTTTATCATCAATACAATTATTAACTTCACTTGGTTCCTTAATTTGTATATGGTAATTTTTTGAAAAATTTTTCTGTGCCTGTGATAATAAGAATCGTTTTACATTTGGTGATATCATTTCAAATAAAATACCACAACGGGTATATCTAGCTTGAACAATTTTTAATTCTAAATTAGATTGATGTAATTTTTCCGATATTATAAATCTAACATCATCGATAGCATTATTATATGGAAATGGTTTTTTACTTGTCAATAATAATTCTGTAGATTCATTATCAATATTTTCATCAATATTTTCATATTGAATTTTCTTTTTGAGTGTATCTATTTCTTGTGTTATTACAATAAAATCTTGTTGTACTTTATTTAATTCGTTTCTAAGAAAAGAAATTTCATTTTGGAGTTTTCTAATTTCATCGGTATTACAATGAATCGAACATGTTGGTCTAGTAGTTGTTCTTTCATATTCAATTGGGGTACTTAGTGTGGTTGTAATAATTTCTGGTGATTCATGATAACTATGAAAATTTGGTGGCACTGGTATTAAATCTGAAATATAAACATTGTTAGGAAGGCATTATTAATACAGACGTTATTAGGTAATTAAATGTTATTATAATTGATAATTTGTCATAGGTAATTATTAAAAATTTAATGAATATGATTTTATATACTTACATTGTACAATATACGGCATAACTTTTTGATATCTTTTTGTTGTATCATTTATATTTATTTCATACCAATAATTTATTCGATCTCCAACATTAAGGTTATGATTTTCTAAATATATATTCCATTGATTTGTATATTTTGAATATTTTGCTTCACCATTTATTGTACCAGGTTCATCTAATGATATTAATTCATTTATATTAGCATGAAATTTAAAACTTTTCATACCAAAATCTAACATTGGTATTGATATTCTAATACCATTTAATTTATAAATTTCAAAAAATGGTTCAATAATTGATTGATCTTTAATATATGCACCACATGGTGAATATACATTTTTAGCATTTGCATATAAATTTAAATTATTAAATAATGTTAATGATAATAGAAGAGCTGCTAATGTAAATGTATAAGAAGACATTGTAAATTTTATTATATAGGATGGATATGATGTTCTTAATTTCTTATTTTATAATTATAATTATTATTATTATTAAGTTCTAATTTGAATATTATTATACTGTTGATTTTAATTATAAAACTGTTGCTGTTTTATAATAATTATTTGTTATACACATACGTAATGTATATGTATGTAAATCACTGATTGTGGATATGTATAACTATACTTTTTGATATTATACCCTAATTTTTGTATTTATTTAACAAATAATATTAAATTAATTGAGATTCAACTTCCAAAGTAGCAGAAAAAAATTGAAAAGATTTAAAAAGTAAAGTGGGAAAATCTCATAAATTATTTAACAAGTTTTAATGAATTTAATTTATTTTTGTTGATGGCAAATTTATTTTGATTTATATTTTTTTCTTCCTAAATTATGTTCTTATATTTTTATTTATGTATGTCAGAATATCCTTCTTTTCTTTTGTTTGTCTTCCTTCCAACGTATAATCTTGTTCTATGTTATAATTTTTTCGATTTAATAAACATTCATACACGTATGCTTGCATATAACAGATTATATTCGAACTTCTTTTAAATATTGATGAATATATATATTTTTGCAAGGATCTTATACGAAAAATTCGATATTATTTTTGTCGTGAAAATATAGGTTAATTTTTCTTCTCTTTTCCTTTTATGTTTACAAATTTTAGCAGCGTGATAAACAATTTATGTATGCATATATATATATTCTGTATATACTGATAACGATATACACTATATATAGCTTGTTACTGGTTATTTTAAGATAATTATCATCCAATTAAATATCCTGGAAATAAATGTTAATATAAAATTATTATTATTATTATATTTTTAATATATTTATGTATATGAATATTTATGCAAATTTGTACATATACATATATAATGTATGTATATGCAAGTGTAATAATTATAAATATATTTAGTTTGAGAAATATTTTATTATTGAATGTGTATATTAAAATATAAGTATAACATAAGTAAAAATACACATTATATAGAAAATATTGTTAACGCTTAATAATTTTAAATATGAAATTATTATATGCAATAATAATAACAACAATAGAATGTAATAAATTTTATGATAATTAATAAATTTCAACTTTTATTATTATAATAGTGTGTTATGATTACTTTTATAATATGAAAATGTATACAAGTGTGATATAGGTATGTTAATTAATTTTCATTTATATTTTGTTTTAAATTAAATTGTATTATATGCGTGTATAACAAATATAAATGTGTACATATAAGTTCAGGATTTTGAATAATAGGGCATATATGTATATAAAGTACCAAATATTATTTGTATAATTTTTATATTAAAATTATTTTTATACATTAAATATTCATTATGATTTATTATTTTTGTATAAGATATACACAATATGTGCATATATAATTTATAATGTACGCGACATTTATTTAATTAAATTAAACTTCTTTTAATTACTTCATTACTTTGCTTATGTTTCGAATCGCTACTTCCATATAATATACGAAGTTTATTTGAATTAGTAAATTTGGTTATTTTATTTAAATTAATTTTATTAAATACATTTTACTTGTTACACATAGTGTATAGTGTGAAAAAATATGTTTTTTTTTAAATTTTACGAGTTATTAGCTTTAATGCACCACATCCAATTTAATAATATTTAAAATTTTTTGGTTATAGTAAGGGTATACTATTAGAAATTTTATATTTAAAATATTTTTATATTTTAAAAGTATTGAAGACATAATGCCTTCATTACTTTTAAAATATTAAATAATTATTTTTCCAATACTGAAACGTGGTCGTTTTCAGTTATTCACAATATTAGTTAACTAACACTAACATTTAACATATTATTTATTTAATTTGGTAAAGAAGCGAAATTTTGTGAAAATTTGAAATTTTAGATCTTCATATATGAATGAAATGATTGACTTCCAAATTTTACTCTATTTTGGAGTAAGATATGTGATAAATCCTAGTAGGACTACATATGCATAGTTAGCTTAAAAATTTCCGCTTGATTTATCCAAACTATATGAAGTATTTTTTGAATCATAATTTCGAATTTTCGGTTCGATTAATAAAAAAAAAGTATTTGCTATTGTTACTTAAGAAATGAGAGAATTAAGGATTTTGAAATATTAAAGAATGCTTTGATTTCTTAAGAATTAATTTAATACAATGAAGAATTTTTTTTTATATTTTTGAATTACATACTTGTAATATACTAAGATATACTAAGAAACCTAAATCTTTTTATTTCATAATTTTTACAATTTCATAAAACGTTTCCATTTTAAATAAGTTACCTAATCTTGAAGTTATACAAAAGATTAACTGTAAATTTCACAAAATCTTATAAAATGCACTTCATAAAATACGGATAAGAAAATACATCAAAGTGTGTGTGTCAGCATAATTGCATTCAATTAAAATTTAATTTTATTATGTTATTTACTATAATTGTTAAGAGAGTCCAGCCTAATATTATAATAGAAACTATCAAAATATTTAATGAAATCAAAATTTATTGATTATGTAAATACTTTTTATTGTAAATTACTACTATTTTATTAATAAACTCTTTAATTAGCCGCATGTTGTTTTGATTTCACTTGACAAAGGATTTTTTGATAAAATATTTTCTTTAATTAAAAAATTTTTTAATTGGAAGCAAAGCTTTGAAATAATAATTTAAAAAAAATTATTAAAATTAATTGTACAATATTTGAGAAATTTCTTTGTGCGACCAATAATTTCTATAGTTAATTTTTTAACAAAAAGATTTTATAGTGAAATTATTTTCATATAGTTTCAATAGCACAAACGAACATTTATTTTTATTTAAAAAAAGAAAAACAAAAAAATATACATAAAAAATGTAAATATACTTATAATGTTATCAAGTATGAACATCCGCTTTAAATATTTGGCTAAAACTTATGTGTTTGTAAATGTTGCTGTTTGGTTTATAACACACATTCAATTGTGGCGTAAAAAAAAAAACATAAATTTTATATTACACGTGCAATAATTTGATTGAGTAGTCGATGTAATTTTGTAACACATATACTAAGTAGCTTTTATATACATTAGTAATATAAAATCAAAATTGTATTTGCAAAAGTACGCAGACGCTTTTCTGAAAAATGTGTCAAATAAAATTTTATTAGTATATATAGAGAATGTCATTCTTTTCTTTAATTTTCTTATAAGACAATAAAATTGAAGTGCATTTTATTTTTAGAATTAGAACTTGGTTTGTGTCTATAAACGGCCGTCAGAATTTTAACCAGATTAATTGCAAAATTACTTTTTATAACCAGTTTCTCAAAGTACACCTTACGTTACGTAAATGCATTTGCATATGACATATGATGTTTAGACATTTTTTTTTTTTTAATAACATAGATAAAATATAATTTACGATTAACAGGGATATGCAATGTACAAAATAATTATATGTTATAGATACTTATTATTTAATAATTCTATAAGTGTACCTACAACTACATGTGCTACCAATTTACAATTAAATATACGTATACTATAGAATTCAGTTAGATGGGAAGTAAAATAAAATAATCATATTTAATTTTATATACAGCGCCTTTGCAAACATTTGTAATTCCCTCGGTAAAATAATTTTAATTGCATGCGTTGTAGTAAAAAATTAATTTGAATTTCAAACATAAGGTTATTTATTTTTATATTATATTTACATATGGGAATCATTCAAATACTTATAGGTCTAAAATGTTTTTAACCAAAATTTAACAATAATTTGAAAAATTTTTGACTTCATACTTATGGTATGAAATAAAAAATATTATGTAGGTTAGGTTTAGGTTATAGTTAAAAATGATTACCATAACTATGTTATATAATAAAAATTATTCAAATAAAAATTCATATTAAGTGAGAAAAACGTACAATTAAGTATATTAAAAAAAAAAAACTAAAATACTAAGGTACGTTTATATTTACTTGTTTTCTACATTGTACGTTTCTAACTTTCTTACAAAATTTTAAATTTAATTTGATATTAGAGTTTTAAGCCAAATTTGAGCTTTAGGGAAGTTATTAATAAATAAATTTGTTACTTACAATAAGACAATGTTAAAATAAAAAAAGCTTCTAGAAAGAAATGATTGATTTAAAGACTTTTTGAAATTCAACCAGATTTTATAAATTCTAGTATGATTTTGGAAAAACAATAATTTTATCCAATTTTCTTGAAAAGTTTCATTTGAATACGAAGAATCAATTTTGTTTTAAATTGACTTAGACAATTTCGCCTTATCACCACATAATTATGTATAAAATTCTTGGAATTTCTAATCATTTGCAAATTATATTCTAATTTATTTTGATAAAAATCGTTCCACTATACGATTTGGCGAGAAGCGTTTTTTGATTAGTCGTGACACATGGTTTGACGTCAATCACAATTTGCATAATTGCAATTATATTATCCATATTCATGTTTTCATATTTTAAATGATTATCTTTTGAGAGACTTCTTATTATTTTTTTTTAATTTTAATTAATTTTTCACATTTGAGTGTTCTGCACATGTTGAGTTCTCTTACATAAACTTTTTATATACAATTAAATAATTAATTATGACATTTATTTCAGTAAAATATATTCACTTATTGTTGATTTAATTATCTTATATAAATTTATTTAAAAAAAAATTATCAAATTTTTACAGAGATAAAATTAAAGTTAAAATTAGAAATTTCTTTTTTTTTTGGTGCAAAACATGCATATAGATAAACTTTAGATATTCTCGTGTCCATAATAAGTTAGTAAAAATAATTTCTAAATTGAAAATAAAATTAAAATACATGCATATACATATACATATATATATACATGCATATATATATTTTAAATATACCATATGATTTTTTAAACATTTTAATTAGATTATTTTTTTTTCTTTTATTCTAGAACTAATTAGTAGCTATAATTTATAAATATTAAAAATTTTAATTGTTTTTACTAATTACCTTAAATAGAATAGTAGATATTTATTTTATAAATTTAACTATTTTTTATATTTTTTTTTAAATAATTTCTATTTTCTATTTTTTTTTTTAGAAATTTATTTAAAATTTTTATATATTTTTAAAATAAATTAAAAAAAGAATGTTGAATTAAAAATAAAAAAAAACAGGCTCTCTTTTTATTCTCTTTTGCTTTTTTTTCTCTTGTTTTAATTTTAATTCACAATTTTGCACTTTTTTTCTCACTATCTTTTATTGTCTTAGTAGATTAATTAAATTTTTGTTTTATTGTTGTTTTTAATTTTTTTTATATGATTTAAAATATTTCATTGTATTTAATTTTTTACTTCTTTCATCACTGAGATTTAAATAGCGACTAAATCAAAACAGACTTTATACTCTAGCTTATAAAAGTGGATTTAGAGTGAAGAAAAAAAAAAACATTTTTTTTTTCTTTATCAAAAAATTATGGTACGGCGATATTGCCGGCTGGCTGTTCTGCTCGTCAATTGGAAATTCCGTTTTGTTTTGATATTTTTTTGTTTCCTATCTTTTTATTTTTGTTTTGTTTTCTTATAATATTGTTGTTTTTCATTTTCACGCTTAACAGTATTCTATAATATAGAGTACAAAGTTAAATGTATAAAAGTAAATGTAATGAAAATTGAAGAAAAACAAAAACAACAAAACAAAAGCAAAATATGTGATGATAACAATGAAAAGCATTCTTTAAAAATTTTTTTTTTCTTTAAATTTAATGCAACAGAAAGCAAACTATAGAGCACTTATATGACAGTAAGTACATAATATAGTAACATTAGACAACAAAAGAATGAAAAGCAAGGGAACGACAGAGCGAACGAGAGTGATAGCAGGAAGAGAAAAAGAGAAAGAAAGAATATAAAGAGTTCGAATTAATATATGAATTGTAATATGACTAAAAGGAGATATTTTATTAAAAAACAAGAAAATAAAAAGAAAAACTTACAAACAAACGTACAACAGAATAGATGAACCGTCTTATATATGCTCCCGTTTTGCTCTTTGTGAATATTGTGATTGTGATTCTTGTATTTTTGTTTTGCTTTTTATTTTTCCTCTCATACTGTTTATTATCATGGGTGTACCATATACAATGTGTGTACAGAATTTTTTATTCTTATTTATTATAAATTCTCATATGGTTTTCAACTGATAAAAATATTTTATATACACTACCGACTTATAATATACTGAATGCGGTGTTGATATGATTTTTGAAATTACAATGATTACGAGTATAATGTTGGCACCTACAAAATACATACATACAATTTATATATCTATAAAAATAATATTGTTGTACAAGTTATATAATATTGTAAATGAAATCCATATTTGGTTGCACTTGAGTAAAATTAACAGATAGATTAGTTTTTTCCAATTTTGTAAATACACATAATATGTTCACGAATGTCGATATGTTTACATATGTATGTATATGTAATATGGATTCATTATTATTATTATTATTAATATAGCAGACTACGATCATAAATGACGTTTGATTCATTAATGTACATCTGCTTATAAAACATCTGCTATACTAGAAATTGATAAAATTCTTTATTTGCTTAATAAACGGAAAACAGGGAATGAATATAAATTTAATAAAATTTATGTTTTTAAAACAGGAATTGCTTCGAACGAGAGCAACTTATAGCAAAATTTATTAAAATTTCTTCTTCATTTTCTTGGTAAATATCTTTTAAAACAGAGGCTTTCAACTGTTTTTTTTAACATAGCTCACGGCATACGAAGAATTCACCCGCAAACCCGCAATTTAACAGATTTCTTATAAAAGACAAGTGATCAAGTTCGAGTTTTCGACAAATAGCAATTTTACTTGGCTTGTCAATTTATATGAGTTTATAGCGGTTTTTCAAATTCGAACTACAAATTAATTTTCATAATTTTAAAACTTAATTTACTAAGCTAATTTTAAAACTTAAATTACTAAGCTGTTCATATATTTTAAAAATCGATCAATGTTAAATATAAAATTATTGCAGTACAGTTAGGATGAGAAAATAATTTTTTGCTTTAAAAAAATTGTAAAAAGCTTGCAGTTTCGGAAATATGAACAACGCGTAGAAAATTCAAATTTTACTGATTTCGTAATGTGAAAGAAGTTGAAAACGAATTTTCTAATTAAACAAGTTATTTCTTAGTGTCTAAAAGTTTTTAAAATTTCATAGCCTGAAACTGACGAACGCTTGGATGGGATAAAGGAATATTGAACGTCTCTTAAATAGCATTTCCTTGAAACCACAGAATTTTAGTGCGTATAAGAATATTAATTTAAGTTTAAATATTTTATTACTCAATATTTTTCAGCTTTAATTTTTCTAAGTTGCTTAAAATTGCACAATATCAAGCATATGTAATAATTTTCTTTTAATTTTATTTGCAATAACATAGAAATTTTTATTATTAAAGTTTGAATGGGAAAAACTAAATATTTTTTAAAACGGTATCTCGCTGTGGAGAAATTGATTCATTAGTCATTGAACGTCTGCATCGAAAATAACTTAAAAATTTTCATTATTATAAAATTTTTTCTCAATAAATACAAACATAATTTGTTCAAAATCTGGTATTTTTACCATGTAAAAGAAAATAACGAATAAATATAATACAATGTTTATGTGAAAATGTTAGCGAAAGTGAGGTAAGTAAACAAAACATCGTTAAAAAAAAACACATTTGCCTTATCAGTACCTATATGGGTTTTTTGTATTTTTTGTCGTGGTTTTTCCATTATTCTGTTTTGTAAACATTTTGTTATCACGAGATTTCACTTTTTATATAGATTTTATTGGAATCAATTTGTTTATACAGTCGCATAGTTCCAGCATGTTTTTCCATATTAAGAAAAATTATTTTTGAAAAAATTTTATTTCAATTAAAAAATGTTACTCTTATGTTGCAATTTTATTGTTGTTATGCGCCGCTAAACTAGCTGAGAACGTTATTTCATATTTTGTTTCTTTTAAACTTAAAGAAAGAGAGAAAATAATTTATAAAAAAAATATTAAAAATTAGATGTAAAAGTTTCAGCACATTAAATACGATAGTGAGAAACGCCTTCATTTATGCTCTCATATACAGCCTGAGCACATATGTACTCTTAATTAATTATTAATTACTTACACAACTTATAGAAATCAAAAATAAAAAAAATAAAATACCTACATAGCTATTACTCATGCACATACATACCTATTTAGGTATGTAAATATTTAATTGGGAAATTTATGTGAACTATAATTATGCAAAATATTATTGCAGGAACTTAGACCATTTTTACTTTAACAGAAATTTAGAATTTCTACTTAAGCAATATCACTAAAACTTATTACTATGATATTAACTCAAAAATTTTAAAATTAAAATAAGCCACTTGAAGAGTGTTTCTGTATTTCGCATTAACTTTACATAAAAATATTGTTTTTCCAAATTTTCAAGCAAACTTTCAAATTGAAGACGCCATAGTAATTTTCATAACCATCTAATTTGCTACTAGAAACTTTAAGAACAAGAAGTATTTTAAGGTCCATAGATTGATTGTAGTGCTCTTCGAAATATATTATAATATAATTTTATAATAATAATTAAATATCGCGGCGATAGATAAATAATTAAATTTTAATTGTCAGATATTAAAAATATTAAGTTTTAATTTGTTAAGGTTCAAAAAGATGAGCTCTGCACACTCAATATTTTTTTGTGTCTTCTAAATATTTTCCAATCTTTATAAAAACAAATCTATGGATGAAGAGTTAAAGGTGAACTTTTGGAAAATAATTCTCTGTATTTACTCTCGTGAATTTCTCTTTTTCATTTTATTTTGTTTGTTCCTTTTTGAGAGAAATTTAATATAAGTATAATAAGTTTTAGTGATATTGCTTAATGATCTGTTTATGTACATACATACATATGTATAAATTGTTACCTCTTTCAGAAGAGAAATAAATTTTCCGGATGTATGAATAAGAATTTTAATATAAGGGAATTTTATAATATTGCAACTATAAACGGAAATTAAAAATGAAATTTATAAAACTGTTGAAATGGGGAATCACCTTAAAGTTTTTACGATACTCACGTGTTAAGATGTATATTATTGTTTTTAAATGTAAATTATGTACGTATTTTAATTTTAAAAGTCTAACTAATTTAGTATGGCAATTTATTGAGCTCCTAAAAATATTGGTTTATTGTATGTTGGATATAACGTTTGATTATAATGTATATACGTATTATAATTTATATATGTAAATAGTTGTAACGTAAAACAATTGTATATGACGACAACTTTGAACATAAGTTCAGTTTATTGAAATAAACACATGGGCAACTGTTATGTTATGAATATGATGTTCTTTAATATATTTATGCAGCTATGTAGCTAACAAATAATTTATAGCAACAATTTGATTAATGATAGTGCAAACATGTTTGTCTATATATTGAACAAATTAATATTTTTTTCTTCATTGTTTTTTATATAAAAATGCGTATTCCATGTACCATTCATGTTTCATAACCACTGTATATGAAAACGAATCAAACATTATTTTAGTGACTGCAAGTGTAAAATTTAGACCTTGGGAATACATTTAGCGAAAATAATCATAATGCGGTATACTTATACAGTTAACAAGTATTAAATTATGTATTCTTTTAACAAAAAAATAACAACACAAAAACAATTCTGCCTAAAACTCTATGACAATTTAGAATGTATGTACAGTGTATAACTACATAACTATAAGAATACATTACATATGTTCACCCCCGTGTATATAAATTTTTACATATGCAAAACATATGTGTATTAAAAATACCTTCCATATAATTTACAAAAAAAAAGAAAAATTTCAACCTCCACTTACTTGAATATACACAGAGAGAATTTATTGTGATGAATTTTTGATATTTTTCCATCTATTTGTGATATTGTTGTCGTCTTTATTATTGTTGTTACTACTACTGGATTTTGTTATTTCTATATAGAACAGGCAGATTTTTATTATCATATGACAATTCGTGTAGTCGCTGATGAAAATAATTGATGAGCACACATTTTGCTCTAAGCTAATTTTTGTTTTACTTTTTTGTTTTGTAGCTACTTGCTATTTTTTTCCTAAGCTCCCCGATTCTTTGTTTATTATATTGTACTTAGAAATTACTTTTCAGATAGCCAGAAGCATTTTTTTGTATCTATGTATGTTTGAATAAAATAATAAAAAAATGATAAAAAAATATATGATTAAAAATGCTTTGATTCTTTTGAAATAAATGAAACAATAAAATGTAATAAAAGTAAAAAATTTCAAAAAGAATATAAAAATAATGAGATTTAACACTTCGTGAACCATAGTAAGTACTTTAAGTATTATAAAGAATGAAATCAGCTCACAATTTATAAGGATTTTATAGCTGACTTTAATCCTAACATTAATTCGCAAGAAATAAGTTTGGATACTTTTTTGTGTATAACCGACTATGGGAA